CATTTCTGAACACATTAAGCTTGGAATAGATAGTGCGCTCTAATGAGAATACCCCTCACTGTTTAAAACCGAACGACAAACTTGCTTGATAAATAGAGAATAATATTTTGCTGCTCGGTAAACAGTCCCCGTCATGAGAAAAGTGCAAACAGCTGATAAGCGGCCGCTGTAACCCACCGGAGAGGTACGACGTTCTGTGGGCGACCGACAGCCTCCTCTGGGATCGACAGGTCAGAGGAGTCGGCTTGAGCAGTGCAGTAATAAGTATAGAAGCATAAATACAACAGTAGTACAGTAATCATTGGCGGGTACGGTAGTCGAGTGTCACGTGATCATTCGCTAAGACTTGAGGAAGCCCTGAATTCTTGTACTACGTTCAAAATCTTATGGACTTCAGAAGAATCAATAAAATCGATAAATGACTCGAAGAAGTGAGTGATGCAGAACTGCAGGAAACGCGCACAAAAGTAAGGTAAATCGAGTACACTCAATACATAGAGTATTTTTTAAAAGTTGAATGAACTAAAAGCCAAATCCACATTCATATCAACTTTTACTTTTTTACCCATGAAAATGAAGAGCATTTATTGACTACAGGGAAGATGAGTAGCAAAACTCGCCATTTCTAACTATTAGCAAAATTCTTGCTCCGTTTGAAAAAATCTAGATTCCCAGAAAAATACTCCGGTAACTAACCTTAACAGATAAACTTAGGCTTAAAAAGAAAACCCTAAAACTTTATTGAAAAAAAAATTACCGCTTTTTAAAAAACCGAGCAAGTATAAGGGGATTTTCGGATTTTTAAAAACATTTTGATGCGACAGGAAATTTCTGGACATCCGCTTCGCGATCATTGTTGCATCAGTCACGGGAGGCAGGCAAATGAAGAAATAAAACACTTCTTATAGTTTTTTCTTCGCAAAAAAAAACCTTGGAGAAAAACCCAAAACTAAGCTGATGCGGTCGGATATTAAAAAAAAGAAGTGGCTGCAGAACTTCTCGACTTGCTGCAGTAAGCTGTAAAGACTTGAAGCGGCAAAACTAGCAGAATCTTTGGCGCTGAAGCCTCGAAGAAGCCTAAACTTCGTTCATTCTGCCTCATACTCTGGGGCAGAAGAATCTGGGAAATCTTGGCGAATTTTTTTGTTTAAATTGCTACTGAAACATCGGATGTTTTCTCTTTAATGCTTAGAGTTTTTGTATTTGAAGGAACATGCAGATCGGCTCGACCTCGAGGTCTGCTTTCCTCTAAAATTTCAAGTTTAAGTTTTACCGCTGTTTTGAAACACTGCCGAACATAAAGGTATATGGTGGTGTGGAATTTACAAAGAAATGTAGGGTTAAAAAAAGAAAATTGATATAATCCGTAATGGTGAGGGTAATACTAACAAAAGGAGAGCTATATACAGACATTCGTACTTTTAAAAAGTAGCTTAGATGCCTGTTGAAATACATGCGCTGAAAAAGTTGTTCAGATTGCTTGACTCTGCTAAAGAGTGCGAAATATTAATGAAGTTTTAGGGCAAAATGAAGGCTGGAGAGATGAGCCATAAGCGCGGACCGAAAGCTCGTTCAGTCTTTGCTGCTTTGCAAGAAGTCCAAAAATTTAAAGGTAAAGGGTTAAACAAGAGTGCCAAGGCGAAGCCACGTTTGAATGACAGACCTATCTGTAGTTTGATTCTCCTAAGATGGAAAAAATAGACAGGAAGATTACAAAGGTCCAAGAAGCTCTGGCAGAGAGGAAAAAAGTGAAAAAAAAACTTCGGAGAGAAACACTGGCAAATAGCGAGCAAAAAATTTTATATTAATATGTTACTAAGTTCGAGACAAATGAATAGGAATTATGAAGTTATTTAACAAAAAATGAAAATGTAGGAAATGTACAGGAAAGGAGGGTAGCTCGAATGAAAATAAAATAGTTGACGACCATAAAATTTTGTTCCACGTGGATATTGTGAGCATTTTTGAAGAAAAAATATAGGAAAACAGAAAATGAAACAATCAACGGACTTCAGAAAAATTCAGAAAAATTGGAAGTGTAACCTAGCTAAAGAAAATTTCTATAAGATTGAAATTTCTTCTCATCAGAAGTACAGCTGAGACGAAATGCAGTGCAGATGTCATTTTTGGAGTTAAGTTTCATTCTGAGTTGACGTAAGGACAAAGTGACTATAAATGCGAAAATCGAGTATAAACAAGCGATCGCGCTCTAACCTACGAAAATTCTCGTGAAATTTTCTAGAAAAATGCAATCACTAAGGCTTTAATAAGGCTTTAAAAGTTCCCAACAGGCCACTATGAAAACGAGAAAATGAAAACGTCGGGAAAATGAAGTCTTGAAAAGCATTTTTTACATAGAAATATGGGGAATTGGAGAAACCAATGATTTATCCAGCAATAACCTTGCCCGAGCGCTAATTTGATAACGAATTCGATTTTCAACAGAAAAACCGGAAGAACTGCGGATCGAATGAGGAACTTCCGGCACCTGTGATGCAACAAGGAAGCGGATGAGAATACCGGCTCAGCCAGCGGCTTATCCAGGATTTAGCGAAGTTCAGGCGGGGATTTTCGGCGGTGGGGTCGAGGTGCGGTCGCATCACCGCTAACTGTCTTTGTTGACACTGACTGAGACACAGGCAGTCAGCGCCCGATAGCGGCAAAGACAGCCGGCCACGCTCGATGAATCGATAATTTGAAATCGGTAAAAAGTACCGTAATTGGGTGAAAAGATTCTTGCGACTCCATATCTGCCAAGAAATTGCCTTTAGCTGATAGGATTCTTGTATCAACGATGATTTGAAA